TGCCATTCACCAAATGTAGCTACTTTAAAATAAACTATAAAATTAAAACCTGCATTCATTTTCACAGTAGACTAGCTATACTATAAGTGCTTGGTAGCCACAGAGCACACTTCTTCCTAGAAAGTTCTATTGGACAGTTTTTCTATTTTCTATGGGAGACATTTTTATCTGACTTTTGACAAAACATTAGAAAGACCTCACTGAAATTGTAACTCATACAAAAATTAGGTCTTTTCATTAGATTCAAAATATATACATTCCATAGCCTTCAAGTTTAAAGCCTTTGACTTTAAAGGCCTAGCTAAGGCACTACTGTTTCTATGCAACCTTAGACCTATCTCTTCTCTCTGTTTAAACTTGACACTTTTCCCAGATTTCTTCCTGAGATAAAAACAAAATCCATGTGGGCATAGTGGTGCACGCCTGTAAGCCCAGCACTGGGGAGGCAGAGGCAGGCGGTTGTCTGTGAGTTCGAGGTCAGCCTGGTCTGCATACTGAATTCCAGGCCAGCTGAGACTACATAGTGAGAGCCTGTCTCTCTCTCACACACACACACACACAAGAGAGACAAAGGAAAGGAAAGGAAAGGAAAGGAAAGGAAAGGAAAGGAAAGGAAAGGAAAGGAAAGGAAAGGAAAGGAAAGGAAAGGAAAGGAAAGGAAAGGAAAGGAAAGGAAAGGAAAGGAAAAAAAAATCCAGTCTGTTATACCACAGTATAGTTTTCAACTACTAAAATCTGCATAGTTTTAAAAGTCTTTATTTTGATCTTTAAAATTCTGAATTAATCTTAGACTTAATTCTCCCTCCCCTCACCGGTGTGTTAAAATCTTTCCTGTATTGCGAATGGCTAATGACCATTTTTCTCTGTTGCAGGTGAATGCACAATATTTGCAGCTGTTCGTGATTTAATGGCTAATCTTACACTGCCCCCTGGTGGGCGTCCATAGACACTATTGTTTTTAACCCAGGAAGGCTGACAAATGAAAAAAACATCACACAAAAACAAGGCTGAATTCAGCCTTCAGTTTTAAAAAGGAAAAGGACTTTTTTTTTTTTTTTACTTTAAGAGCTAAATATTCTAAACTGGCAAAACTTTTCAGGGTGCACTTCTTTCATCAAAAAGATCGTTAATCTTTTGTATAGTGAACTTGTATAGTGTGTTTAAATGGGACACATCTCAAACTAGGTAATACATCAGTGTCCGCTTGCCAGTAATAGATTTAATAGTCTGTTTTATACTATACAGTAATGAAAATGCCAAACTTGTTTATTTAATTGTTTCTTATGTTTTGGGTGTAATAGTCCTTTTTTTTGTTTCTTTTTTGTTAGTTTTTTGTTTTGTTTGTTTTTTGGTTTTTATTTTTTTTAGGCAGGTCTGTCATTTTTTAATACTGTAAAACTGTGACAAACTTTATATTGAAGCTGTATTTTAATATGGCCGCTTTGAATCCTTACACACACACACACACACACACACACACGTTTTGGGAGTTGTTCTAAACATATCCCAAAGAAGCAATAGTTAATAAAACTAGGATATAAAAGTGACACTCACACGTGTGTGTATAAGCTCTCTAGAATTCTTAGGGCCTGCCCTCATCTTTAACCTGGTGGGGCCAGTCAGTTTTTAAATCATGTATGTCTGAAATTTGACCAAAAACATTTTTGTTTTAAGGTTAATGCAGTTCTTCAGACATTCCTAACTTGACTGGTGATAACCTTGAGCACCTCAGTTGTTTTTAAAAATAGGACTTTGGTAAAATGAAAGAACTCAGTCTTTGAGAAGAGACTGTAAGTGATTTATATGATCAAAGATCCCAAAATGATGTGATAATTCTCATCTGCAAGGAAATGGGAACCTTCTGCTAGGAAAATGTCATTTATAGGATACTTCTGCACACAGCATTAATTAGGAAAAAAAAACTTTAATGCTCTAACCTGCATGAAGTTTCTGTGACATTTATTTTATTTTAAGGCAAGAGCCTTCCCCAGCACAGTTGGGGCTGTTTTAAACAATCTCAATTTAATCCATTGTTAGCAAAACAATAGGATGTTTTGTCAGACAAAACTCGGTCTAGTAATTTTTTTTTAAATGTCCACAGTTCAGGGCTCCTCCAGGGTCCAGTGGAGTTTCTGGTACTGGCACATAATAGGATTTCTTTCTCGAGTGCTGTACTGACTCCCAGCCAGTTAGGGACTTTTTAAGCTTCAAAGAACGTATGATTCAAAGGTCTTGTGATGATTTGATGTTACGTGGAGAATTTTTTTTTATTGATAATATCATGCTGAGTTATGTAGTCACTGTAATACTGATCCTCTATTAAATTTTCAATGCTTTGTCTAATTTCATTTTAAGATGATTAATTGAACTTCTATAACTATAACCACCAAATTCTAGTTTTAAGCATCTCCCTGCAACTGTATCAGCTGTTCTCAACTTTGCTTGAATCTCCATTTCCTGTCAGAGTTGAGGCCTTCTGTGTCTTCTTTCCGCCTTCCTCTCCTGCTTCTCACCCAACTCTGCCAGTATTCCAGAGTAGGTGACTAAACTTTTATTCTTCCTTTAACTGAACCTTTTTATCCTTCTACTTTCAGTTCTCTTCACAGTGGTAATCACTTGGGTTTGGCAATCTAAGATGTCTTTATAGGGTCAGCCCTTTTCTATTTGGAGCTGAATCCTGTCATGTAGAAATCTACATGTATATATAAGAAATGTATTTTTATCTGCAGGATGATATTGTTTCAAATAATTTTATTAATAGAATTAACTTTTCAGGTATTTTCTCTTTTAAGTGTGGTTTTGAACTGTTAATTGCAATTTTACACATGATGCATTCAATGGATACTTTTTCTTAATTATAATTCACCTTTGAATGCATTGTGCAACTCAAGTAAGATAGGGTTCAATGAACAGAATTTGATTTTGATGCATATTAATAGTAAACCAATGAATTTGAATTTTGATATCATGCTTGGTACTTGGAATTGGTATATACTTTATTAAAGCTTGGAAATACTTAGCATTTGAATCGTAACTTTCATCACAAACCATGTCTTTTGCCTCTGTTGTTAACCAGGTTCAATCAAAGAGACTGGATGCCATAGTGATTTTCTCTAGTAGGTGATTTGGAACTTAATTTTAAGGTGTTTTCGATGTGATTTTAGTATTTACAGTAATAAATAAAATTTATACACATTTCAGAGAACTACCAACTCTCTAGTTAATTTTGGTGAAGATATTTTTGGTTGTAGTCTGGTTTAGTATTAGTTTAACCTTGAGGGAAGACATTGCTCCTCCTGATTTGCCACCCTTCCCTTTTACTTCTGCAGAAATGACATTTCAAAGTGTATAGAAGTACTGTTAGAATTAGGAGGACAGTGAAAACTTCAACAGAATATGCCCAGTTACTACTACTACTAATGCATAATATTAAACTTTATGTTTGAAAACTGAGTAAGTTAAAGCTAGGCACGAACTCTTTCTGCCATTTTTTGTTTTTGTTTTTTTTTTTATCTTCAAAAGAGAAATACCCATTACATTTTTTTTTAGAAACAAGGTCTTTCCATGTTGCCCAGGCTGGAACTGAACTTCCATGATCCAGGTGATCCTCCTCTGCAGGTACTGAGACCACAGGCATGTGCCACCATCCCTCCCTTTTAAGTGTTACTGATGCAAAATTTACTTACAGAAAATTTTAAGAGAACTTACAATGAAGGGTCAGAAAAGAAAAATGTTAGTGTAGATTTTATTGGGTTTGTGCAATTTTTCATTTGGTTTGATGGGAATATGGGGTATTTGGATTTGTTTAGGATGTTTATATAGACGTTATTAAGACAAAGTTAGGAGAGGCCAGCCTGCACTGTACTAACCGTTTCTGCATCACGACAGTCCAGTCTGTTTTCCATAATTACCTCTACTTCCAGTTGGCTGGTGAGTTGATAACATTCATTGCCCAAGAATACAACCGATGGATGAAAGGGCATATTTAGGTCAATATAAAATAATAGCTAACATTTACTGAGAGTTTACCGTGTGTCAGGCACCATTCTTAAATGTTTCCATGTGCATTTACTTCCCCTCCCACACTGTGAGCTAACTATTAATAACCCCCTCTTTGCAGACAGTAAACAGAGGCACAAAGAAATAATTTGCTAGGATTAGTCAAGATCAAAATACTAAGGCAGTTTGAGCCCAGAGCTAGTGCTCCTCAGCACTGCCTTTGCTGTGAACCATGAAGTCAGGAAAAGATTTCGGTGTATGCAGTCGTCCCTCAAGGCCTTTTGGTTACACACAATTTCAACATTTTCCAAGCTCAAGAAAACCCACTAAAAGCATCCAAAACATGTCTTTTGTCGCTAAGCACTGACAATGTAATGCCTCCTGACCTCTGTGGCAAATATGACTGCCCTGTGCAGCCTAAATAATCGTGGTGTCACCTCTGCCAGAGGCTTGGGGCAGAGTAGCCCCTCCAGATCTAGGGAACACTTGCCGTTTTGCCTCTGCTGGATGCTCCAATCGTGGATTTTCTGGCCTTAGTGTCAGCTTGGTCCACCCCGGGCACACAATAGGCAGCCTGCCGTCATGTTTTATTAATACCCAGATTTGCTACAGCCCGTGGGCTCAGAACGAGTTAATTTTCTAGAATTGCACAATGTAAGGAATATACGTCATTCGAGATAGGTGCTTTGAGCACCTTTACATCTGCCTAATAAAGGAATCAAAACGGGAGCCCGCACATCAGGAAGGAGTCCATCAGAGGGCTGGTCAGCTGCTTGGGAACGGAGAAAAACGACTGAAGGTTTCAAGCAAAGAGGCTGCCTCGGCCCGCTCCTAGGTACAGAAACCTCCGCGGTTCCTTTAAATGGGAGTGGAACTGACGATTTCCGGCTATGAAGACGGCCCCTGGGACCCGTGATGCAGAAACAGCGCCTCAGATGCGGGGGGCGGGGCGCAGGAGGCGGTCTGGGGTGGGGTTGCGCCTGCGCCGAACGGAAGCATCAGCAGACCTGCCCCCCTGAGAGCCGCCCAAGCCCCTGCGCAGGCGCACTGCCGCTGACCCGCCCTCCCCGGCCTGGGAGACATGGCGCTGATAGAGCTGGCGGCCCGCCTGAACTGCGCTGAGTACAAGAACTGGGTGAAGGCGGGATACTGCCTGCTGCTACTGCGCAGCTGCCTGCAGGGCTTCATCCGGCGTGAAATGCTCAGCTTCCATCGCGGCCTGCTCGCCGCAGCCCCCGGCCTGGGCCCCCGCGCCACCTGCCACGGCGGATCCCGGTGCAGCCCGCGGGCTCGCCAGGTGAGCAGCTGGCTGCGCTGGACCCTAGTCCCAGCCCATCCCCAGTTCAGTCGGCATCCGGTCTTTTCCTCCCCCGGGGGGGGGGGACTATTGCCACGCCCCCCCGTCCTGATCCTTCTCCCATCGGATCCCTGCTCACCGCTGCCCCCTCTAGTTTCAGCCTCAGTGTCAGCTGTGTGCCCAGTGGAAACGCGAGATCTTGAGACATCATGGCAACAGAAATGGAGATGTGCACTGGGGAAACTGCCGACCGGGCCTCTGGCCTGTGGACGCTTGGGAGGTAGCCAAGGTAAGCAATTGCAGCCCGGACAGAAAGCAGGTCACCTGGCGCCCCAGGGCAGAGAATGAGCTACAAGTCCTGGCCTCAGAAAATACAAGTGCAAGAGATGGTTGGTTCTCTAGGGTCTAGTGTCCAGGTGGTTAGGGGCTATTAGAGCCGACCCATCCCAGGTTTGAGAAATAGACACTTCTCTCTGCCTGCTTCTTGCAGGCATTTGAGCTTTCTGTCCCTGCTTGGAAGCTGTAGTAAAGATTTCAGTAAGACATGCTAGAGCAAGATGTAGACTGAAGTCTGGTGGTGTGGCTAACTTGGCCTCTGATCCCATGGTTGGAGAGGCTGAGGCAGGGCTGCCGCGAGTTTGAGGCCATCCTGTGCTACATATTATGTAGATCCTGTCCCAAAAGAAGGAGGGGCTATTAAGAGCACTGACTGCAGCAGGGCGTAGTGGTGTACTCCTTTAGTCCCAGAACCCACATGGCAGCAGCAGAAGCAGGCCCGAGTTCAAGGCCAGCCTGATCTACATAATGAGTTCCAGGCCAGCTGGGGCTGCAGGGGACCTGTTTGGTTCCCAGCACCCACATGGAGGCTAACAACTGTCCATAACTATAGTTCTAGGGGATCTCACTGTCTTCTGGCCTCCTCTGGCATTGCAAGAATGAGTGTACTTACATGAATGTAGACAATACTCATACACATAAAATAAAAATTTAAATAACATACAGACCTTTCATCATGAGCAGCAGTCTGGAGGAACATGTAAGGTGTGCTTGAAGGAGAGGTTCACTGAATTACTCATTTAGGTCATAAAGTGCCATGAGGAAGGCAAAGGAAGCCAAGGGGAATTAGGACTAAAATGGAAAGGACTATGACTACTTAGCTAAGGAATACACTTGTTTTTCTTTTCTTTTTTTTTTTTTTGACCTTTTTGACACAGGGTCTCCCTGCAGCTCCAGCTGACCCAGAACTTATTATGTAGACCAGGCTGGCCTTGAACTCACAGGGATCTGCCTGCCTCTGTCTCCTTAGTGTTGGAACTACAAGGGTGTGCCACCACGCCCGGCTAAGAATACAGTTTTAGGAGGTGGAAATGTGGTGAGCTATGAGGTAGGGGTTATTAGGCCTCTTTTTAGATTTTGGCACTGTGACTCACTGGCTGAACTGTTGGGGGAATTTTGAGTTCTTGACGTTTACCAGAAGCCTAGTAGAGGGTGGAGAGGTCCTCTCCTCAGTCACAAGTGGCTTCCTAACACAAATTGACTTTGGGAGTTAGTGTATGCAGGCCTAGGATTAGCAGGTGGAAAGGAAGGATTGACAGATGGAAAGGAAGGCAGGTGCTCTGAGGCCCAGCCCAGCTGCAGGTAGCACAATGAGCCTGTTCCTCTTCTCTGTCTCTCTTTGATATTTTGAGACAAGGTCTCAATGTACCCAGGCTGGGTTCCTGTTTCTACCTCCCAAGTTCTAGGATGGTGTGTACCACAACATCCAGTTGTCCTGTGTCTACAATGAAGGAATTGGACTGCATTTGTGGTCCCCAGACTTGGCCTATCGCACTTATATCCCACATGTTTTAAAGATTAAAACAATTCAGTGTGTGTGTGTCTATGTCTGTGTGAGTGTATAACATGTGTGCCAGTACCTTCAAGGGCCCAAAAAGGGTGTCAGATCCCCTGGAGCTGAAATTACAGGTGGTTGTGAGGCACCTGACCTGGGTTTTGGGAAGCAGCCTCCAGTCCTCTGTAAGAGCAATAAGCTAACTGCTGAGCCCTCTCTCCAGCTCTTCCCCTACTGTTTTTCATTGCCACCATAGAGTTGTCACTTTCTGCTTTTACCTAGAGCTTATAAAAAAAAATCTTAAAGAAATAAAACTTTCCTTCACTTTGACTGTTCTAACCTGTTTGGTCTTCATTGCTGATTTCACAGACATGGTGCCTGAGGCCTGTGTTGCCTGCTCCTGCCAGCCTTTCCTCCCCTTGCTTGCTGGTCACCTGCAGACCTTCTAGTCCAACCTTGTGTATATATTCCCTATCTAACTCCACCCTCAACTCCTGGGCTCCCTGTCTTAGCATCCTTGGTCTACTCCAACTCAACCCTGTCCACACAGAAAGTCTCCATGTCTAACCTCTTTTGCCACACTTCCTCAAAAGACTACTTTTCAGTACTGGCTAGACTTCACCCTCCTGCCTATATTCGCCTCTGTCCATCATTATAATCAGTCTCTTGAAATTACCTCTTTATTTATTTATTTATTTA